CCGAGTCGACCTCCCACACACGCACGGTGCTATCATCCGATGCCGAGGCAAGGTATACGCTATCTGGGGACCATGCGACGTCGGAGCATCCTTTCACGTGTCCGTTCATGTTCCGAATGAGCTCTCCGGTTGCGGGAGACCATATTTTAATGAGCGTCTCGTCCGCTGCATATGCCGGCGTTGCTTGTTCGTGCCCAGCCGAAGTAAGAAGACATATTGCGCACCACAAGAAGCAAGTAATTTTCCGTCCGGGCTAAATTTTACGGAAGATATAGGTCCTTTGTGCCCGCGTAGTGTATGCAAGAGCTCATAACGAGGACGGGGTCGCGGTGGACCAGAAGTCGAAAGCTGAGGTGGAGGTGGTGCAGGTACCGGTGGAGGCGGTAGGGGTTGGTCGGGGATCTCGGGGTCGTCTTCTGTTGTCTGGGATGCATTATCGTCGTCTGTCGACGAATCTGAGTCTCGATGGTGGTCCATGGTCAACGGCACGGCGAAAACCGAGTCAAGTCGGCAGAGTTTAAACCAGTAAACGGGCAGTACATGGGGCGTCGATAAATCAAATGCATTGGCGGGCCGAAGGCCCGTTATTAGTACACATAACGTCTGCAAACTCGCTCTGCGAGTCGTCGCAGTCGACGCGTCTTGTTTCCTTCAACCCAACCAACACCACGCGTCTTTGCTTCCCGGCCGCCTTGTGGTGTCAGCCGTCCATGATATATTTCGATTTGAACGTGCACGTCCCGCAACCGGCTTCGTTAGCATCGACGTCGGGCCAGATATCAAAAAAGGCCAAGGGCAAGCAGTCACAAGTCGCGGTTCCGTCTTCTGTCGCATTTTCTTCTGGGCAGATCACTACCATAGAGGCGCGAATCGACTTGCTTGTTTATTGTCAGCCCAAGCTACCTAGACCAAAGCGTACGCTGACCATCGGCCAGTAGGATACACCGTTCTTGCATTCACCCAGACTGTACAGAAGAAGGTTGAGCAGCGGACGCATATCAATATACTTGATCCATTGCTCTCTCAGCTACGGAAGCGGGAAGGGATCGTGTACTTGAAACGAATTACGATCGTGCTTGATGAGGAGAGCGAGAAAGGGTTCGGTCTTGTGTGTATTCCCCACCTCTTTCCGTCTCCTCATCCATCATATTTAGTAGACAAACACGAACGCGTCCCTCTTCGCGCCCTACGATATCATTGCACTCGCGCCTACGACGGAAGCTTCTTTCTCATACGCCGTGCTAACCCACACTCTTCCCTCTAACCTTACCGCACACGTCCTCTCCATCCCGCTTACCCTTCCACGCCTACCCTTCCGCTTGAAACACACCACCGTGCGCACTGCGCTCCGCAATGGCGCAGTCTTCGAAATCAACTACGCAGGCGCTCTTGGTATTGATGATCTGTCAGCTGATGGTCCAGGTGGGGCGGCGGCGAAGAGGAATTGGTGGGCCGCAGCGAGAGAGGTGGCCAGAGTTACGAGAGGGAAGAGTTTGATCGTGAGCAGTGGAGGGCACGGGGAGGCAGAACTACGCGCGCCGCGAGACGTCGGAAATCTGTGTGTTTACGTGCTTCGGGATGGGCACGCGCATTTACTGACGAATGAATGTCCTCAGGATGACATTCCTTGATCTTGCTCACAATCTTACGCACGATGCAGCTACGACGATTCCGAGGTCACTCGTGCTTCGTATACGCGAGTTCTACTTACTTCCTCTGCTCAACTGCTCACTGATATCAGCTCCCAGAAACGCGAAAGACGTATCGTGCTGTATTCTCAGAGCCCAAAGTTGTTGTGCCTGAAGGCTTCACGCTTGTCACTTCAGCACCAGCATCGGTGTCTGCGACGGTCACTACTACCGCGGCACCTTTAAACATTACTTCTCCAGTGGAGATCGCCTCTGGGAACGGCAAGAAGCGACCACGGGGAGACAGCACGAACACGCCTCCGGTGAAGGAGGATCCGAAGCCCAGTAGTGAAAGTGGCGGCCCACGCAAGAAGAGAAAAGCGAGGCAGCAGGATACCTCGTGATCCGCGTGCTTCCATGGTTTTGATATCCTAGCACTTGACGTATCCACAATTGCATCATTAAGGGCTTAGGGGCTGCTTTTCTATACGTGTAATGCTATGCTCGGGTTCGAGCAGGGCAGAGGAGCGGGAACGAGCTGTCCCACCGACTCCCACGGTCGGGCCATTCAGGCACTGCTTATAGCTGGAGCTTCATAATTTTGGAACACACCTGTTCACATCATCCAAATACAGCAGCTACACTTACTGTGTGCTTGTAGTATCCGGTGTTCCTGCTGTAGTTGATGCGTATACACGGACATTCTCACTAGGGAGAGGCTGAAATGCTTCAAATAGCATGCACATTACCAGCCGCGCGTGTACAGCCTTGAGACTCTTTACACCACCAGGCCGCGTCTTGGATCTCGCCTTGCACCATGTCCCAGTCCGCACCCATAACTCCAATACGCGCAATAACCTCGAACCTCCATGCCCGCTCGCCGCCATTCGTCCCCAAGGCCGCCCAGACTTACGAGCCGCTCGTCCGCAATGTTCTGCGCCAGCGCCTGCTTCGCGAGATCTTCCCTTATTCCGCCCTTTGCGTCTGGTTCTTTGAGTCCTTCTGGATACATTTGAATCTGTCCAAAACACATAAACTAGGTGTCTTGAGGACGCTAGCCGTGCCTTTGAAGCCCGGCACACTCGCCGCGTCTTTCCTCACGTGGGCGTTTGTTGTTCTACCCATCCTCCTTGCGCGACGAGACAACCTTGTCGGTGTGTATCTCACTTTTTACTCTTCTGTACCCTTCTGACGGGTTTATAGCCACACGCACTGCTGCCGCTTCCCCAGCCCAGCTCTTCAAAGCCGCGTTTTCTAGGCGTGCCACTCGGTCGATCTTTTTGCTCTACATCATCACTAGCCTCTCATTCTTCTTGACCCAACTCTCCGTCGCAAGGCTTTGCCGGTCGGTCGAAGAACTTCACCTAAACGTTTTTGTAAAGTCAAAGTGCGTAGAAACCGTACTCCTATCCGGCTTCCGTTTAACCGCTGCAATAGGAGGCATCCTTTCTACCTCAATGGTCGTTTTGTATACACGATCTTATCTCAAATTTTTATTGGGGCCGTATTTTTTGCACGAAACGTGATGTTCGATCGGTTTGCGGTGCGATGGAAAGAGGTGCGTGCCTGCATGCTGCCTCGCGCGTCTGCTTATCATGCATATAGACCTTCAGCGAGCGCAACGGTGAGAAGATTGCTCAAAGGCTCATCGTAGTATCCATCGCAAGCCTCCTACTCTCTATATCAGGCCTTGTAGGATACACAATTCTTTTCGCCTTTGTGCGTTCGCTGGTCCTTCCTGTGTTGCTCAGCGTACCCGTTCTCCATATGGCCTTCCGCCCGTTCTGTGCCCACTTCATTCGTGGTCGCTGGACAGTGCTTCTTCCTCTCAGTATCAAGAACATCGTTCACATTTGGCGCACGTATCTGCTCAACCTTTTCCTCGTTGCTTCCTTGGAGTTTGCGGAGACTCTGTTCGACGAGAATGTCCGCAAGGTGCTATTCATCTTTTCCGTGCTCCATGCTCTGCACTCAACTTCCCCTAGCCTCTCGCGGTAGCTCCTCATAGCGCTGAGCCTGGCACCACTCTCGTATCTGGCGCGACAAGTGCGAGTATTTATTACAAATTCTTTGCATACCGTGAACTGCGGGACTTCGCTTCTGACGGCGCAGAGAGGTCGAGCACCGCTCGCACGGCCCTGTTTGGCGACCAGAAGCACAGCCCAACCCTGTGGGCAACGCTTGTGTTGGATTCACTTCTACTTCTCGGTAACGACTATCAGCTGTTGCTTCGTCGCGGCAAGCCCCCACCTCCTCCTTGTTCGTAACCCTTTCCAATGGTTTCTCTCCCGCTGATGAGTTCTCGCTGCAGCACCAGCGTCCCCGCCAGAAAAACGCAAGGTCCCAGAACTCCCGTCCACACCTCTGGAACGTAAAAAAATCTTTAAGACTTCGGCACCATCTCCCGTCAATGCAGCCCTCGAAGCTCTCGCCGCTGACGGTGCTATCTCTCAAGCCGTAGAGACCTCCGCCGAACGCCTTCCGTCTGTTTTCCAGGCGGCGCACGTCCCGCTCCCACACATTCCTCTCCCTACTCTCCCAGCTGCCAGTGCTATTGTACCTGTCCGACCGCCGAGCAGCGGGATTGGTACTGTGGTCGGTAGATGGACACCAGGGGCTGTTAGGGATGTTGGGATGAGGTTGGGTGAATGGTGGGCGAGTGAACGCTTGAGTAAGGTTGCGGAGAGTTCTCTGCCGAACCGGGATCTCGACGCTCTCGTGATCGAGTGTGCGTTCCGTCTAACCAACTTTGCCCATCAAGTTGTTCGGCTGATGCGTCCTGACAGCACTGTCGTACCTTGTATGTGCGTCGCTGACAGAAGACCGGTACGGCGTCGTGCAGCGGGATATCCCACGCATCCTCGAGGCGTTTGTCTCGCTCCTTATTGCTGTCGAGGAATACCACACCGAGCTCCTCGCAGCCGTCCCACCCCATTCTGATACATCAGAGCTGAACGCCCGCGAGCGCCGCCTGCGCGCGCGCAAGGCGGAGGAGATCGACAAGGCGAGAGATGTGCTCTTGGTCGTCGATGACGGTGCGTGGCCCGTCTATTCCGCGGGAATGGGGTGATAAGACTGATTCCATGTATGCATAGCGCTGAAGAACAGCATCATGCGCATTGTGCAGACGTTTGGATCGAAGATGACCGCGTTCAAGTTCCCGCCGAGGACGGCGGAGAAACTACAGGAGTTTGTGAATTATGCACAGCACGCGGTGGGAGCGAGGCAAGATGACATATTCCGAGGATAGGGACTTATAAGTTCAAGTTGTCGCGTTCGCGCGTGTCGTATAAGCTGCTGCAATAGGAAGGGTCTAATTTGTCGCGCGGGCACTTTTTTATGTCTGTAATGCTTGCAAACAACCCTCTGAAGTCCCTGGTAGTATATCGGATGAGTACACGCGCCTGTCACGCGCGAGAGCGGGGTTCGACTCCCCGCCAGGGAGTTGTGTATGTTTTTTGTTTTCTGTCAGCTGGGACCAGATGGGTGACGTCAGCGAAGGATGGTATCGGCAAAGCTCGGACGCACTGGGTACTCCTGTATTCCTGTACTCGAACGCTCGAGGACGGTCCTGTCCACCGCAATGTTCCAGGCCCCCTACCCGCCATACGATCCTACGGACAAGAACGGGTGCGGGCTCCTCGACACGTGCGGTGTCAATATCTACTCATCACTAGCGTACTCCTTCCGAACAGCTTCTCGTCAGTCCATGCCTTCCTGTCCTTCTGACCTTAGTCTGTGACATGCGATTCCACTCAGCTATGAAACCGTTGTCAAACGATGGCCCGTGATTCTTACTAACATCATTGACACCGTCTACCGTTCCAATCACGACACCGCCATCGCAGCAGGCGAGACGCCCTCGGCCGAGGTCGAAGAAAAGCTCGCAGAGGGGAAAAAGATCATTGAAGAGATCAGTAAACTCAAGTACGAGATGGGCAGGGATCGGCCACTTGAGTACGCCTGTTTGTTGACTTTCCCTATACGCAGTGGATGGAGGAGTTGTATAGGCCCGTTCCTGAGGATGGAGAGGCGATGGTTGAAGTGTACAACAAGGAGCTCGAGCGGCTCGCGACGGAGGAGAAAGGGACATGGTTCACTGCGCCGTGGCTATATGCCGAGTACGTCCGTCCGCCTCCTTGAGATCCGTCAGCGTAGCTCATCTACCCCAGATGCTACCTGTGCGGATGAACTACTGCTCGTGTGAAAAGTCCGCTAAAAACAATATTGAAGTTACCGCTTCGTTCGGTCATACTTCGCAAAATCAAGGCATTGGAAAAATTACGATCCCTTCGCGGAGCAGAAAGAGTCAACCTTCCAGAAGAGCGGCGCCGCTATTTACAGCGAGTCCTCTCCATTCTCACCTGCTGCTAGGTCGTCATACCGCTCACAGAGCTTGCGACCACGATGCATCAGCTCGAAGGAGAGAAGGCAGTGCTCGAGTCCGACCCCGACAAGCTCGAGGTGATATTCCGCGAGATGGTGCAGATGTGCCTTTGGTACGTTCTCTGTCCGCCATCGGAGTCTCCGTCGCCTTCATGTTATCTAGGGGGAATGCAACGGTGCGCGAGTATACGAAACGAGGAGTTTGCATGCTACTAATTGAAGTTTGGGTGCAGGATTTGTCGCTTCTTACACACATGTCCCACGAGGACATCCAACGCCTCCAGGCCGTTGGGAGGGAAGCACAGAAAGCTCAAGAAGAGTACATTCTAAAGGATGACCAGCACACCGTCTGGTCGCACATTAAGACCCTCCGTAATGCGAGAGTGGACTTCGTTCTTGACAATGGTGAGTGTACCCCTTTCTACCGTGGTATCGCATTTTTCACTTGCTCGAACAGCCGGCTTTGAGGTGCGTGTACTGTGGGAGTCGATAACCGCCTGTTGAGTTGCCGAGTTGCCAATGCAGGTCTTCACGGACTTTGTCTTCGCAGACTTCCTCGTCACGTACACGCCTTACGTCTCCAGCGTCGTCTTCCAGTGACTGACCTCTTCCTCCCCTCTCACTCACTTATTTACACACTACTCCAGTGCCAAGGCCATCCCCTGGTTCGTCTCTGATGTTACGCCTCCTGACTTTCTCAACACGCCTTCCTTGCTCCTTTCTCCGTCTTTCTTCTCCGAGACTTCACATGCTGCCGACACTGTGGCGAAAGAGCACCTTCACGCGCTTGTATCGCGCTGGAAACGTTACATCGCTGAGGGTAAGTTCAGGCTTGGTGTGCCGCTGGACTCACCTCTGGGCGTGGCGGACCCGAAGATCGACTTCTGGACGAGCCCGTGGCCGTATTGGAACATGGAGGTAATTGCACCAGAACTCTTTAAGGAGCTCACGACAAGTGGGCTCGTCATCTTCAAGGCATGTTCTTTCGATCCTGTCCCGAACAAAGTTTCAGGGCTGACTCTTTCGTCTAGGGAGATCTGAAGTAGGTAATTGTGCATTCACTGTGACCGTCTACTGATTGGATACGTGTCTTTGACACAACCAGCTATCGGAAGTAAGTATAGTTCCCATATCCTTTAATGGCCCATTCCTAACGTAAACTCAGGTTGACGGGTGATGTACGCTGGCCCGTCGACACGCCCTTTGCAACCGCAGTTGGTCTGTTATTATCTCGTACTACAGATCCTCCCCCCTTCCTTAACTGAAATGCGTTCCAGGCCCCCTGGCCTCGTCCTTCCCCCTCCTCAGCCTCCGTACGAACAAAGCGGATGTTGTTGTTGGCGTACCGCAGGACATTGCGGACGCGCTTGACAAGAAGGACCCAAAATGGGCAGTGAACGGGAAGTATGCTCTCGTGTCATTCTTGTCGGGAAGGACTGCAGGCGGAAGGGCGTAAGAAAATGACGCGAATATAGAGATACAGGTAAATTCGTAGAACAGAAGGTAATAGGTGTGTCGTTAGACCCGTAGTGATAGTAGTAGATGCGTCAGATGATGGTATGTCTCTGCTTGAGCAGCGCAGAGGCAGCGAGGCCAAGTACAGTCGAATCTCTACTAATGAATAACCTGAAAACGTATAGAACCCCATCTTGCATAACGCCTTGCAGTTTCAAAAGGCCGTCTTCCTGCTAAAATAGAGTCTGATAATGCATAAATCTGCTAGCACATAGAAAAATGAAGGAACGGGCGCTATGCATTAGTAGAGATTCAACTGTATCTTGGTCGCACTTCGCCAATCTCCAAGTGAAAAATTCCTGACTGGTAAGTAAAAGTCGAGATGTTTGAGACGATACATGGGAACGCTCTTCGGAAATAGCTATGGATATCGTACCGGCGACACAAGGAGATACGAAATGAAGATTGGATTTCTCCACCTATGCAGCTCATGCCCATGGGTTCTCATCGTCAGGTGGTGGGGAGAATGAGTTCGCGTAAACATGCGCTGGGGGCTCCTCGACGGTTGCAACTGGCCCCTTCGCCCTGAGCACATCAAGATCGCGCGGTAGACTTGGCCCTTCCTGGTTCGGCTCTTCCTCAGCCATCACACGCGCGACCTCCTCAAGGTCTGTATGCACACTCGCTCGGATCGTCGCCTCCCCAATCTCCCCAATCTCGTCGCGTTCGCCAGGGAGGTTGTGCCGCCGGAAGACCTTGCGCAGCCCGGAGCCACGCACGGCGGGCTCGCCGTGCCGTCTCTCTCGCGCGACTTCCTCTATGGCAAGACGTGAGTCCTCTACGACTAGGTCGATTGCGTCTGGTCGAGAGTTGCGGCTATCGGCGTGGGCGAGAAATTGTACGGGTGGACTTTCGCTGATTGCGGAAGATGGGCGTGAGCGGTGAGACTGTGTGCGCGAGACAGGCGCGAGGCGTGGGGGCTGTAAAGACCTGGGTGACGGTTTCGGTGATGGTGTCATGCGGCCGACGGCAGTCCAGCGGAGCTTCACGTCGTGTGGGTCCGCGCTGAGCATATGATCCGACTCCATGTCGATGTGTCGGTCTTCAACGTGTGGGGAGTCCGGGTGGGAGTTCCTGTCGGAATTGGAGTTGGTGCAAGAGCCCGAACCACCTGCAATAGGTCTCTGCGATGTCACTACAGCTCCATATCCGCCCGTTCGAGCCTGTTGCGCGGCACGGCGGTGGCCCTTGAAGTCTGAGTCCCACGCACTGCGCTCGTCGCGTAGGATGCGTTCTTCATCCTCCCACATCTGCCTGCGCGCTTCTTCGGTGCTCGCATCGATGCATGGATAAAGGTAGTCCCCGAAGAGGTATTGCTTGCTCTGCGAGAATAAGGTATCATCGTCCACGTCTGGACTACCAAAGGGCAACTCGTAGCCCACTGTCGCGTGGCCCTGGTATGTCTCATCGTGAATGACGTGCTCTGCTTGATCGCCTAGCAGCGGCGCGTGCACTTCATCGTACGAGTCTGCGCTCATGATGTGGTCAACTACGTGCTCGGTTCGACCAGGTACTGTGGAGGTGGTGGGCTGTGGGAGCCAGTACTTTCCCCGGCCGCCTTTGCTGTAACGGAGGCCGGCCTTGATGCGCCGTTCGCGCCCAAGACCCTGGTGGATGAATCCCTCGCTCGGTTCAAATTCTCGGTAATCCATCCCCTCGCCACGCAGCGTGCTCTTCATGTCCTCAAAGACATCTTTGTATCCGAAGGCGTCGCGAACAGCATAGCGGATGGGCATGCGACCGACGAAGGTGATATCGGAGTCGATGTAGTCCCGGTGGGAGAAAGCATACCAGTGAGCGACGGCAAAGAACGGCATCTCGAGGCAGATAAGGAGATCGGTGAGGCCAAGTGAGATGTGTTCGACGTCCGTGTACGGCCCCAGCTGCTTGATAGCACCGGCCGAAACGAGGATGGATACAAGGATGGATTGCCAGAACGAGAAGAAAAGAATTCCCTTGACGCAGAGGAACTTAGGAACGGGACTAGGACGGCCGTCAGTCCAGGGAATCGTCGGACGCAATATGATGATACGCCACGCACCGGAAAGGCTTTAGATCCTGGCTTATGGATAACCAGAACATAGCCAGGCAGTAGAGACTAAGACAGATACTGGCGTTGTATACGATACTCACGTAGAGGTATCCGGAGTCGGGTCGCAGGTTACCTTCATTGTATTTACCGACAGCCTTTAGTATAAGAGTCACAGCCGCAAGAACTGGCTTAACCTGCACATATTCTAGAAAATAATGAGAACTGTAGCAGGATGGATGAGAGTGCACTGACGCATAATACCGCGCTTCAAGAAAAGGAAGGTGTATGGATCACTGACGTCTAACTCGGGTTGGAAGACGTTCGTAGGAAATGGGGGATTCTTCGGTGGACGGCCATGAACAAGAATGAGGAGAGAACGTTCCCCACCGAGAAAGCTGAGGAGAAGCTGGAAGAAGCAGTAGATCACAAATGCCTGTAATTGTCAACATCAGCCTGAGTATGTAGAGCAAAAGTGACATACTTCATAAATGTCCCTTAGAGCGTCGATCACA